CATGTCTTTAAGCTGAAGGGTGTTGTTTAATAAAAACATTTTTTCATCCTCAAATAGAAATACTCCTTTACTGATGCACCTTTTCCTTGTTTGACTTTGCCAACTGTTGTGAGCATGTTATAATCAAGGATCAAGGTCAGGCCAGTCGACTGACATACTGTCATTTATTCATAAAGTAATCATTCATGGTACCTTTCCCCTCTCACACTTATCTTTGGTGTTTACCTTTTAAGTAATCACCTAACCACATTTTGACATGAAATCTGTCCACTATCATTCAGCTGCTGAGTTTGAAAGATGTCTCCTCTGTACTCTAACAGTTTGTCCTTGCAGTTCAATCATAATGACCCTCATCTGTTGTCATCTCTTCAATATTTTATCAGGGATCAGATGCAGCTCTTCACAACCCCACTCCTCAATATACCCTTTATCTGTCTTTTACCATCATCAATCTCTGGACTGCTCCTGTCCTTTTTCAGCCTCATCACCCCTTTAAATATGTGAAGAGGTCTTCAAAGGATATTCCGGCGTAAAATTAAGTTAGGGTCAAACGCACTGTAACACTCAGTTAAACACTCCCTCCAGAGATGAATGTTGCTGACCGCTTGCTTCTCTAGTTATACCAACTTCAGCAACGACCACACGATAGCAGTACACAATGGTCTAAAGAGCCAAGCACAAACCTCAACCAAAACGCCACTCTATAGTCACAAATAATACTCAGAACAGCACCTAACTTCATCAACAGCACATATAGGGTCCCAGCCTAGCCACTAAACATCTTTTTAGCTTTGCCTGGTTTCTTTAGCAAAAACACCAAACACAACACACCTACTCTTCTCCAGTAGCTACTTATTTGTGGGGGAGCCCTGACGAGTTGATCACTGAGTGCAGTCTTCTGTGTTTCCTGTTTCTAAACTTGCAAAAAAAATGATTGGTAACTCATAAAAGGGTCCGTCCTGATTAAATATACCGTGAAGACAAAAGTATGTCTGAGAAAAAAATATTTCATGTGTGTTTGGATTTTAAAGTTTGATTCATGTCTCATCTGTTTACATGGAGGAGGCAGGCTCAATGACCTATACCAAAGTCGTTCAATATGACACCCCTTTTGGTTGGCTGCTCCCTCATCTGTCTTTTCATACAGACTGTTGTACGGCTGCTTTGATCCTAGAGCTCACAGTGCTGTCCTCTATTCTCAGATTATCCCTGTGTGTCTGTAACCTCAGTGTCAGCAAAGCAGGTTATCCCTGCTGGATTGAGAGATGTGTCACCTTTGTGCTCTTTGACACGATCTGCTGGAGCTCGACTGCACTCATAACTCCTGTTTGGGGCTTTTCAGGTCAGAAGGTTTTCTCTTTTCTTTTTTTCATGCTTTCTAAAAAGAGGAGCCTTGGCTGGAGAGTGGTTAAACATTTAGATTCCTCTGTATCTGGTATTTATGGAAATTCTACAACTTTTATTTAAACTTTTGCACAAATTTCAAATTGACCATTTTTTTTACAGCAGCTATTTTTCCTTCCTAAGATGGAAGGTCCAGGTATAACATCTGCCACACTGTTGCAATATTATTATATTGTTGCCTTATAGATTGTAAATAAATTAGGTGTGTCTGACCACTCAGTGACTATGAAGAAAATGTTTTACTTAAGGTTAACATCAATCAGCAAATTAATCAGCTTGTTGTCATTATGATAAAAAAAGCCTGTTTACAGGTATAGTTCCTCCATTTAGCTATTTTCACATATTTAATACTTCTCAAACTTTCCATCATCATTATGACCTGACCATGAATGTCAAATGAAATTATGTTTCTTTTTTGGATATGTTTTGACACCTCATGACCTTTGTTAAGAGGACAGGTGAGTTGATAGATTTAGAAACAGGGGAAGAAGGAGAGTAAGGGATGACCTGACAAATGGTAGATGATGGAAACTGAACACAGAGTCACCACTTTCAGGATTGAAAACCCTGAATTTGTGGTGTGGGGTTTGGCCAGTGAGTCATGTCCTACTATTTTGAACATCATTTTTGAAAACCTTTTGGAAGAATTAAGAATTGCTTTCTTTGGGCCAAAACTTGTACTACCTGATTTGATACGTTGTTCTTGTAGTTGATCCCCGGCAGAAAACTCTAACTCACAGTGTTCCCTTTTTGACAGAGTTTAAGAGAGAGATAGAGAGAGATTTGGCCCAGGAACGATGTGGTATTTGATATTATGACATAACTTGTCAGTACAGGCATAACAAACCCTCTGAATTTTTAGAAACTGAAGATGTTGCTGAGTTTATCCCTGCACAGAAATGTTCCTGCTAAATGGAAAAAGCTCTTCTGAAATAGTCAACTAATCTCTGCAAGAGTATTAAAAACAGAAACTGAGGCTGTGTTTGTGCATGCTGCTCCTGTAAGTACTTGAAGTAAGACACAATTATGTGGCATCACAGTTCCAGCTCAGTCAGTAAAGAGGGTGTGCAGAGGCTTTAGACCTTGCTACACAGGCTATAGGATCTGTTTCCAGTCTTGACAGGATTGTTGTATCTCCTACTTTCTCCCCAAATTCCTCCGTCCCTCTCTCTCTCAAGCTGCCCCATCCTTTAAAGGTAAAAGCCCTAAAACTAACCTCAAAAATCTGCACAACATTCAGACCTTTTTCCAAGCATGTGAATTAAATTTTCCCCTTTATTCCTCTTGGGTTAGGAAACCATGTTATAATTTTGGCACCTGTTATCGGCTGAATTTCAGGGGCTCTCGGTCCTGGGATTTCTTCACAGGTTCAGTCTGAAGTTAATAGACTTATTGTGTTGCCTCCATCTAGTGTTCAGAGGGGAAACTGCTCTGTGAATTCATCAGATCAATAAAACAAGCTGCTTCATGTCTGGTTTGTCAACAGAGAGAGTGGAAACAGCACTTTATGAGGGAGTGAGGTAAGACCTGTTCTTATCTAACCAGGGGATGGATCTGACGAGAACCGAATCGCTATGGAAATCATTTTAAAACTTAATGTAACATCAAAGAGTAAGAGACACCAGTATAATGGTTAAAAAACAAACATGAACCATGTAAATTGACTTAAATGTGTGACTCCTTTGTAAATGTTCAGCCTTAACTGTTCTTTAAACTCTTTCATACAATAATAGGAAACTGGATTTGTTTCAGATCACAGATTGTTACATTTTTTAATTGTTCAATTCAAAAATTTACTGTCCTTTTAGGAACACTGAACAGATTCAGCAATCATGAACTGCTCACTCAGAGTGTAGGCATCTGCTCACATAAAAGCTCATATAAGATCATTTACAAGTACTGATACTTTGACACTTCTTTAGAGATGTTAGTCAAAGATCAGTGAAACGTGGTTATTATCCTGCAGAGTAAAATACTTCGATTTGATTGGCAAAGATTTCACACGTCAAATCAAATCTTTTGCTTGAGAAAAAGTCACAGCTAATTATTTGTCCCAAAGACAAAGAGCCCAAAAACCACAAGCTGTAAGAAACATTATAACAGTAGGTTAGATAAAAGCTGATAGCTGGGCAACAATGGGTAGCCAGAAGTTATCTGTAGGCTATAACTTCATTCAATAACTGCACAGCTGTGTAGAAAGTAACACCCACATTTATTGTAGGTGCAAAGATACTCTATAGCTGTCCCAGACCGACAGAGTGACAGGTGAAAATGAGTATTGGGTTAGTAGTGAGTTACTAGTAGTAGCAGTTAGCAATAACAGCTCAATAGCCACAAATAATGCTCAGAACAGCAGCTAACTTCATTAACAGTACATATAGAGTCCCAGCCATAGTACTAGCCATCAAATATCTTTTTAGCTCTGTCTGATTTCTTTAGCAAAGAGACTAAACACAACCCTGCAACAGAACATTTAAAACTATTACTTCACAGAAATGCAATCAAAGTTCTTGTATGTGCACTGCAGGCACAGTAGTTCTCCTGCCAGGGCGTCTCGGTCTGCATCTCTGGCATTTTGGTTGAGGTCTGTGCGTGGAGACGTAGACTGCTGTGTATTGATATTGTGCCGTCTTGGTACTCTAGTTGGTATAACTAGAGAACCAAGCAGTTGGCAAAATTCATCTCTTGAGGGGGTGTCTAACTCGGTGTTACAGTGTGTTTGACCCTAACTTAATTTTACACTGCAATATCCCTTTAATGTTAGTAATGTTTTAGTAAAGCTCACTCATCTCTGTATGCTGCCTATGCCAAATCTTGCAATCTTTGTATTAGTCTTTCAACCAGTCAGAGGCTGTGTCTGTGATCAGCTGACCTGTGTAAAGATAAAACTGTTTTGATTGGATTAATCTTACTCAGCTTCATATCAATAGAGCTGCGTTTTGACTTTGGTGCTACATTTACAAATGTGATTATTTTTATTATTTTATTCAGCTGGGACATTCTAAGATATTGAAAATAATATTGTATTTAAAACATTTTAAAGACATCAACTCACCTTGTTTTAATCAATGTGTCTGTTTTATTGTCATCGGTTTACCTTATTTACAAATATTAAAGTCAGTCTACAATGATTCTTTTCCAAAAAAAGAGGGGTGGTCTTATGATTAGGGTCGTCTTACATCCGTGTCACTATGATATATTCTTTGACATAATCAGAGTTTTACAGAGCTTCTACATTTTTTAGCACAAATCTCAATGGTGAATGTCAGACGTCAGCAATAATTCAGCGTGGATGTTTGTTCATGTCATGAGAACAAACTGATGGTGTCCCATCATGTCCTCTGGCACCTTCACTTCCTTCACCTTCACCCATGATGTCAGAGCAGCAAAGTGTTTATTTGTGTGTGTGTGTTTGTGCACAAGAGAGTGCGTGCAGCAGGGGGTGGGCACAGTAAGCAGCACATCAACAGCTTCCCTCCTGCGTCTGACTCATCCTCATATATCACGCTAACACACCCCGCTGTCTTGGCACCGTTTCGCTCCTGTTTGCTTGTTTTCTTTTCCATCAGCTCTGCAGTCGAGGGTGTCCAGGAGGCGGAGCAGTCTGAAAAAAAGATGCATCACTGACAGGACAGGCTCACATGTTGGAGAAGTGAGGTAAATACTCAGGTGAGTCACAAACGGAGAGGCAAGTTAACCTGTGAAAGCGTTTTTCTGCACAGAGACTTAACAAAGCTGCAGGGTTTCCTCCCTGTACTGAATAATCGCTCATGAAGAGGGTCTACTTTTAGACAACTTTGATAACAAAGAATTACTCCATTAATTCGGCATCTTTAGGCAAAGCTTTGAAAAGTGTTTTGACAGGTTGAAATAGCAGGGGACTCAGTCAGTGATATGACAGAAGATACCGAAACACAATCAGGTTGTACAAGCGAGACAAATTTCCGATGAAGTGAAACCTTCGAGCGTGCTCCAATTATCAGGGTTCACACTTCTCAGCCTCTCAGGAAAAGCTTGGTTGCTGGAAAAGAGGCTCAGGCCAATTTTCAAACCTCAGATACAGGAGGGACAATGTGGATTTCTTCCTGGCTGTGATACACTGGACCATCTGTTTACCCATGCAGGGCTCCTGGAGGGACATAGGAGCACAACCAGTCTTCATGTGCTTTTTGGACTTTGGCTTACAATAGTGTTCCTTTGGGTGTCTTGTGAGGGGTACTGCAGGGACATAGGGTTCAGGGCAGTTATTGTGAGCTATCCAATCTCTCTATGAACAAAGTAAGAGCTGTTTCCACATAATCAGCCTACAGTCAGACATGTTTGTGGTGCGTGTTGGCCTCTACCAGGGTTTCCCCTTGTCACCAAATCTGTTTGGGATTTTCATGGATAGGGTCTCAAGGCACAGCTGGGGGGAGGAGGGTGTACAGTTTGGGAGCCACAGATTTCCATTTCTGCTCTTAGCAGATAATGTGGTTCTGTTCTTCAGGCCGTGACTTCCGGCAGGCTTGAGAGCAGTTTGCAGCGAAGTACGAAGCGGCTTGGATGAGAGTCAGCACCTCCACCTCCAGCTGCTGTTCTGAGCATTATTTGTGGCTATAGAGTGGCTTTTTGTTTGAGCTCCTTATGGCTCCTCAGACCGCTGTGTATTGCTGGCGTGCGGTCGTTACTAAAGTTGGTATAACTAGAGAAGCAAGCAGTCAGCAACATATATCTCTAGATGGGGTGTTTAAATTAGTGTTATGGTGTGTCTGACCCTAAATTAATTTTACGCCAGAATATCCCTTTAAGCTCAGACATCGGAGGGCACTAAGAATAGAGTTGCTGCTAATTTCCATCAAAAGGAGTCAATTGTAATGGTTCAACCATCATTACTGTGTACGGGCAACTGCTGCCATCACCAAAACAGAAAACTTGGATTATATTCCAAGGAATACAAAAGTAAAGAGATTAGATCTCATTTCTCATGATTTTGGAAACAGACATTCTGACAAAACTGAAGATGTATTTCTGATCTTTCTGGAAAGTAAATATTCTGAGTATATTAAAAACTCAATGTTCTGCAGCAGCATGTTTAATAATAATAAACAGTTTGATCAAGTTTTGTGATTTTTATTTTTATTTCTCTTGTTCTCTTGTTTTTTATTCATCAGCATAAATTCACAGTGTAAATGTGACTCACTCCTCCAGCTCAGCTTGCAGCACTAATGTATCACACAGTAGAAGATTTCACACTCTTTTTTCACCCAATGTGAAGTCAAAAAACAGCAAAGGATCTGGCAAAAAATAATAACTTCTCAGTTGCCTTACTTCGTGTTTTCTTCCAGCTCTCAGTCTGGAGTCTCTTGAGGACTCAGGTGAGTAAATAAACTGGCACTGAAGTGAGCTGAGATCTGTTTCTGTGCCAAAAAGGGAGGAGGGAGAGACATGCCGTCAGTGCGCTCGCTCATCTCTGGTGACTCAAAGTTTTTTTATGATTCACGTCTGAACAGAAGCTGAACGAAGACGCTCTCTCCCTTTTTTTTCTCACCACCTCTTCCTATTATTCCACTCCTCCTCTCCATTCATCTCTTTTTTGTGTGTCCTCTCCTTCCTGCCTGCTAATTGTTGTTGTACCACACTCTTTCTTCCTCCCTCCTCTGAGCCTGCAGTTCTCCTCCTCAGGCCTCGGCGTCTGCAGGCCCTCGCTGGAGGACCTCCAGGATGTTCAAAACACTCTCACACACCCTCCTCCACCTGCGGGTCCGTGCAGCCCGACAGGGGATTTCACTGCGCTGATGACGGGGCACTGTCTTCCTTCCTGAGCCCACATAAATCTGTCGTGTCCTCCGTCCTATAGTCTAATATTAAAGCTGTTTTCCATGACATGCTGCTCTGCAGGGGAGGGAAAGTTGTTGTTGACTGAGACGAGCTGGTGCAGCCCAGGAGCAAAAACTGTGGTTAGAGTTTCCTCAGCACAAACTGACCTATTGATACTTACTACTGATGATCTCAGCTGCTCAGCTGTTGTTGCAGTGGCAGCTTTAACTGTAGAGTACTTCTCTGCTTTGTGCACTGTAGCATGCACAGAGAGTAAAATAAGAAGAGGTTGGGTAGACTGAAGAAAAAATTTTTATTGTGTGTCTCTTGTATCCTTCTTTTCCTTGCTTTGTGCACAAAATTCCCATTCAGCTTTCAGAGTCAAAAAGAGTCAAATTTAAAAAAAAGCAAAGTTTGCTAAATTCTGTAAAAGCTCTTTTCATGTATCTGCAGTGTCAGTTCCTGGGCTTACAGAGGACTTTGTATGTTGTCCCCCCTGTCAGTTTTTATTATGCAGTGTGTAAAACACGGCACCTTGACTTCTCCTCTCCCAGAAAAATGACAAGAATGGACTTGTGAGGACATTTTTCAACCCAGTGAAGGACCTCTGTCATCTCAGAGTCGGCGCTGTGGAGGCTACTGACTTAGGGCTATAATCAAACACACACACACACACACACACACACACACACACACACACACACACACACCTATGCACACCCAAAGATATGCATGCACACTTGGGCATGCATGCACACACTTATGTGTAAAGTTAAGTGTCGTGTTGTGCAATCCTTGGAACAATATTGGAGTACAGAGTAATTGATCAAAAAATGTGCTCAAACACACATTTTTCTTTTTTCCACCAAGTGGAGATTAAAATTGTAGTCTTATATCACAGTCAGTTATTGGGATGGTGTTTTGAGTTTGAATTATGAAGTTAAACGCCAAGTAGAGACACTTAGCCGGCTACAGCTGGACGCCTTGTCAATGCGGTAGCTTGTCTTTTTGAGGAGCAATTCACAACAGCTTCCTACCCTTCCTGTGGATACGAAGCACAATCAATGCAGAAAGATTTCCCAGACTAGCAAAGCTGACACACCAGTATCCGTGCATGCCAGCAACATTCATACCTTCTAAGTGAGTATTTTCTGCCAGTTACATGCTTATTTTTTTTCAATAAGAACAAGTATGGAGTAAACTGGACACCTTTGGAAACTTCCCATAAAGTGGTCTGAGCATCACCACATATGACCATAAATTGACAGATTATTGATGTACAGTTCTTGTTGTTGAAAAAAAAAAGTTTCTGTTGTTAAGAGTAATCAAAAACTAACTATTTAACTTTGCAAATGTTGAATAAGGAAAATACTCAAAATTTGTAACCCCTTTTTAAAAGTGAATACATCTGAATATGCATGTTATGAAAGGAGGCATGACAGACTTTATCGTTTTGACATTTAATTTTGTAGTCCAGAAAATAATGCACAAAATTTTTACAACTTCATGAACTCCATTTAGGGTTTCTGCAATATAAACAATAAATACATAATCAAAATGATACATTTTGAGTTCAACTCTAAGTCACATTTCTTTAAGAGCAGATGATTGACAACATACAGTTAGGCCAAGTTACAAAGGAGAACTGCACATCTTATCTGTCCTCTTGATGTTATTACTATCACACAATCAGTGATACACCATTGGATCCAGTAATTCAGCTTTTGCAGAGGTCAAGGAGGCAAACAGAAAAAGGACAACAGTATGTAACATTCTTTTAAAATGCAAAATTAGCTCCTCGGTATGTACAACATTCTGCAGTCTGGGGTGCTGTTGTTGCATTTCTGTACACACGTGATAATTACATGACAGCAAATCTGCTCTAAAACACAAAGTAATACTGCACTGACTGAAACAGCAGAAACATCAAAACAGTGGTCTTCCTGAGATCTTTCAAAAGTCCTCTGGTGTCTCTTCACAGTGTCTCACAGTATGTCTGCACACAGGGGGAGGTTGTGCTCCGGTTCCTGCAGGTAGTTCACCTGCCAGGGGAGCCCCAAAGCTGGAGATGGCTCCACAAACGTGTCCATGTACCTCTGAGTGCAGGAGGCCCACATCCCTGGCTGGTACCCCAACCCCTCGCCCACCTGTGGGTATCTCAGAGGGCTGGGCGGGTGGTCATGGGGGCTAGCACAATGTCCATGTGAGGTGAAAATCTGTCCCTCAGGGGGGTAACAGGGGTAGTGAGGTGACGGCGGACAGGAGGACGTGTTGTTATCCATGTAGAGGTGTGTCTCAGCGGGCAGCCGGTGCATGTGTCCGCCTTGTTGTGGCTGCATCTGGTGTGAAATGGAGGTGTGCCAGGGGAGGTAGCTCTGATGTTCCAGACGAGGGACTGTCACCCTGCTCTGCTCTAGTCTGGATGCTCCCATCGCAGTTGGACCCACAGATGACCTGTTGCACTCCCGGTGGGTGCAGGGCTTGTTTGGGGGATTTGTGCTCAGGAACACAGAGAGAGCAGAGATCCTGTTGATGGCTCTCTGCAGGGTGGCGATCTTGGAGAGGCGTTTGCCGCTGAGGTCATGGTTCAGAGCCACTCGCAGAGCATTGAAGGCCTGATTATAGTCCAGGATCCGTTTTCTCTCACGAACATTAGCAGCCATTCTTCGGGCTTTGGAGCGAACAGGCCGGTTGCGTTTCTTGGTCTGGCCTTCCTCTGGATCACTCGGACTGCCATTGGAGCTCTCGCTGTCCTGAAAAGACATCTTTGGACTTGAATCATCCTCTACTTGGTCCAGCATACCAAGATCCAGTTCCTCCTCAGAGAACTCTGATCCCGTGACACTGCTGCAGCTCATGGTGGGAATAATCTGGACGAGTCAAAAGAGAATCTTCTCTCGTTGTTCCCGTCTGCTTCTTTTGTAGTCGTATTGAATCTTTTTGAAGTTCCCTTAGACTTTTTTCTCCTCCAGCCTCGCTCTCTCTGCGTTGTTTTGTGGGGCTGTCGGTGTTTGCCGCTGTGCCGACAGCCCAGGTAATCTCCTCTGACTCCTCGGCTGCCTTGTGATTACTCCTACCTGAGCGGGACAGGTCTGCCTGCTTTTTAAAGCCCTTGAAGTCACATGGTACAGTCACCTGTGAGGAATGATGCACTCTCCCTGCCTCTGCAGGTTTATGAGCGCCCTGCAGGTAAATGGCACTGTCACCGCCTCCCCCTCCTCCTCCTCCTCCTGCACCGACTCTCCCTCACATCCCTCACAGGATCTTACAGGACAGTTTTGACACTTCACTCTGTGTGTAAAACATACAGAAAACATACTCATTATTTAAGATAGTAATTAACTTCACACTTCCTTTAACACCGTCGGAAACTGTTTGTTTTTTTACTCCAGAACAGTCCTGTAATCTCTGGCATAGGTTACGTGATTTTTTACCAAGACTTTCCATGAGGTTGTGGGGTCTTTTTATGGAGAGGGGAAGAATGAAGCACAGATACTTTGTCAGGTAGCTCTACTCTGTCAGCTTATTGACTTTTCCAACAACTCATTACCTTTAACCCATACAATCATTTTTACATTTTATGCCTGACATTTTCCAAACAGGCTTGTTGTGTTAGCTCTAGTACACTTGAGAAGGGCTGCTTTTTCATTTTGCATCATTGTGTCTTCCCCTTTCTACAACAGAACTGATTTTCATCTTGATAAAATGTCCTAAAAAAGACATAGTACAGGCTTTGTATTTGCTCTGTTCTAAAATCAAGAATTGTTGTCTAAATTAATCTCCAAAGACAGAAATTCCAAGTTGACCCTCAGAGTCATCAATAGACTGTATAATATATGGATGTAGCATTGTGAGGCAAAGTTTTGAAGCCTATCAATAGTGGTCACCATATTGTTAATTCTGACTAAACCTAATGTTTGGTCAGCCTACTGAAGGCAGGCCTTGAGCTTCCTCTCAAATAGCTGCAGTGTGTCCGCCTGTCAGTCAAGTCAGCCATGCCTCTGATTCATCGATTATGCACCCTAAAAAACTTCCAAAAGAACTTATTACATAAAAAAAACAAAAAAAAAAACTGTGGGTGCCGTTGAAGCCTTCAGCTATTCAGATCAAAACTGTTTTTAAACCAGTCTGTAAATGTGTTTATTTTTGTTCTGAAAACTGGCTTTTTTGGTTCAGTGTGGATGTGGTTTAAGGTGCTTCTGCAAACAGCCTCAAGTGGACATCCAGGGAACTGCAGTTTATAGCACACTGACAGCAGCTTAATTTTTTCAAGCATGGAGGTTGCTGCTTGTATACATCATGAAGAGCACTCCGCTAAGTCCTGCTTTATAGCAACTACAGGTACCCTAACCTCAAAGTCCAAGATGTCTGCCTCTTGTATTATCCATAAAAAGCTGTACTCTAATGGAGCTTATTCGCTAGAATAGGATATTGAGGCCACATGTAAGTTTTTTGTTAAAGATTTAAAGAATAAAGTCATTATATTATGAGAATTAAGCTATTATTCATTGATTATCCACATAAGGCTGGTTTGTAGAGGGGAACCACACATCTCTGCTTTCTGCTCAGTCTTTTCAGAGTCCTGATATATTGGTCAAAACGCTCAATGCTTCTTATTTCAGCTGGCTGCTCACAGTAAACCAAAACTATGACTTTATAACCTCTTTATTCTCGTAACATTTTCTATTATTCTCCTAATATTGTGACTCAATTCTGTAATACTTTGACTTGATTTTTGTCCAGTTTTACTGTAATATTAAGACTTTTCTACTGCTTTATTCATGTAAGAAAATGAGTTGTTTTTTCCAATCAAAAAAACATTTATTTTCTCTAATGTGGACTCAATTCTCCATCATGTCACAAGATTAATGTTAAGACTGTAAAGTTGTATTAAAGTCATAATAATAAAAAAATGAAGCTATTTTACAAGACTTAAAGACATAACATAGTTTCATGCACCTCTCACTTTGTTTTTGTTTGGTATGTTTGGCCTGTCATGCCTTTATTCAGAGGTCAGTGGACAGTGTGAAACTAGGAAGAGAGAGCGGGGGAGGACATACGCAAAGGGCCAGGGGTCAGATTTGAACCTCAATGAGGCCCACTTTGAGGACTAGGGCTTCTGTGTAAGGGCCAAGTGGTTTAACCCCTGGGCTAAATAAGCCCCCTATGTACATCTTACTTTTTGACCATTACAACCTTTTAAAGACGTTCATTTGAACAAATTTTGTGCATATTAGTCTCAGTCACATTCAAGACAAATTTTAAGACAAATTGTGGCCAAAGCAGTCAAATCTGTCACAAAAAGTCTCCTTTTCTCAGGTGTGGGAAGACAGAAATCCCTCTTATCTAGCAAAGGTTAGATTTGTCCTTGCAATTAGCTCTCTCTCTTTCTTTCTTTCTCTCTCTTTCTTTCTCTCTTTCCCTCTCTGTGTGCTCAGGTTTAAGGGCCATGTAATTTAGAGTAGCTTCCCTAGAAGCGTCCTCATAAATCAGGCCTGGGCAGCACCTGAGGACAAGAGCACAGCAAGGCCGACACTTCAAAGAGAGGGAAAAACAAGGGCAAATATTTTACAATTAGAACCTGCAATCTCTGCTCGTAAGACCATCGATCTTTCGTGTTTCTCTGCTGGCAAAGACACAGTTTTATTTAATAAAGTTCTGCTGTAAGACCTTAAAAATTGCTCTTATTGATTATCCTGCACACTTATGAGTTTGGAGTAATTTCCTAAACCAAAGTCCACTAGATTCAGAGTAAAAACAGACTTTCCTGTTTTATTGACTCCGTCCTCTGTCTTTTTTTTCCTCTTCATTCCCACACATAAAACAGAGGAAAGGTAAAGAAATGCATGCACACTTGAAGACCTGTGTGTGAGATGTATGTTGCAGGACAGTGAAAGGTGACTGCACTGACCTTTAGCTAGGCTTCTGGCCAAGTGCAATGGGTCAGGTAAGTAAAGGGTAGGCCTCTCAGACAGTGAACTGGGGGTCGTTGAGGAGCATTGCTTCCTTCCTGCCCTCGCAGTTTTATTGTGGGTGCTGCGGCTCTGAGACGCCAACCTTTAAAACAATTACAGCCCACAGCGTCAGCCTCCACAGACATAACTATTGATCTGAGGTGGGAACGTTCAGAGAGGTCTTTCACCGAGAGATCAGCAAAGACTGAGCGAGAGTATTTCCTCATTAAAATGTTTCTTCCTTTGTGAGCTCACACATACATTACAATGTAGTAAATCTATACAGTAAGTACAGGTATTTACTGTAAGATATCCCAAAACCTTTTCTTACTGTCTGACTGAACTGAACTGGGGAAGATGTACTCAAGATTACTTCTCTCTTTGCATTAAGTGAATTGTAAACCTAAAACTTAATATTCTGATCTAACTGGATGTCTTGAATGTGATTTTGAATAATTTGGCAACAAAAATATCCTAAGTATCATATCGTAAGTATAATATAAGTGTTCTGTCTCATATATTTAGGATTTTCTGTGTTTTGATCTTAAACCCTAACTTCAAAAAGTTGTGGCACTAAGTATTTTGCCTGTTTCAGGATTTCAGTTGCTAAATTGTTCAAGGTCCCTCAAGTTATACTGTTTTTTTTTCATGATGCATCAAATAGTTTCAACAAATGGCAAGTCGGTGCTTCAGGCAAGCCAGTTCAGCAGCAGGACTCTTCAACGACTAAGCCATGCTGTTGGGATACCTGCAGAATGTGGTTTGCCATTGCCTTGCTGAAAGATTAAGGTCTACCCATAAAAAGTCGATGTGTGTATGGCCGCACATTTTTCCCCAAAACATCGCTCAGCATTCATAAAGCCTTCTGTTAGAATAATGTGCATAAATGTATATAGAAGTTATCATTATTCCTCATATTCTTATGTAAGAGTTTATACTACAAGTATAAACTGCTTTGACCTCTTTTTATACATCATATAAGAGTATTTTTATCACATAAGAGTGTTTTCTAACTTCTCTCTCCAATGGCTTAATTACACAGCACATGAATGTTTCTTAACTTCTCTGTGAACTCGTTTCTCCTATCAGCAGGTGTGTGTGATGTATCCTCCGCTGATGAATCGTGGGAAGCTTTTGAGAAGGATCCATCCTTATCAGAAGGAGCTCGTTAGATGCCGCCTTGACCTTCAGCTATTCACAAATTGTTCATTATTATGTTCTATGAAATGCTTACTTTGCAGCACATTTACCCCCACCCTTTTAGAAACATTGTGTGACCAGGGACAACCCTAAATAAAAGAGACTGGGCGGAAATACCTTTCAGAGTGGTTTCGAGATGGTACCTGAAGCTATCTCGGTCCATTCTCCTCGAGTATATACCATTGTCTTTCTCTTCTTTATATGTTATCAGGTAAAGTTTGCAGGTTTTAGACCTAACACCTTCCCATTTAAGCTACCCATGCCCTGGCCACTTGTGTATTGCCCTTCTCAGGTGCTGGCTTTGTAAGTGTGCACTGATAACATGCTGGTCCATGATTTCTGAAAAGACTGTCAAAATTTAAATCATCAGACCACAGGACAGCAGGACTTCACTACAGTCCTGAGAAGTTCCCAGAGCAGTTTTTCACCTGTGATTGTGAATGAAGTTGAGAGCCGTGGTCCAAACAATACTTTTTGATTTCATGCAGTGATTCCTACTACAGAGCTATGTCACCTGTTAAGGCAGTGCTGCATCTCTCATCTTACTTATATCTTACAAATCTCATCTTACTTTCTGTAAGAGTCAAATGTATTTAATAAAACCATATATAATGTTTATAATCCATGTAAACCATGTTTATAATCATTATTTAATACTTTTTTTTGATCAATGTCTCTTTATATACACCCCCAAATTGACAAATCATTACACTGGTAATCAATTATACACATTCACGTCATATTATCTATTGTCGACCGGGTCATGGGGGCAACAGGCTCAGCACATGACCCCAGGCCCCCCTTCTCCCCAACAATGTTTTCAAGCTCTTCCCAGGATTCCCAGGCACTTCTAGGCAAGATGGGATATAAAATCCCTGCAGCAAGCTCTTGGCCTACCTTGAGACCCACTTCCCACTGGCTGGGACAACTCCACAGGGAAGCATCCAGGAGGCATCCTCATCCTAAACCACCTTGGCTACTTTTAGTATGAAGAAGAAGCGGCATGTTAAAAATTGCACTGTAAATTTGGTGTTTTCACAGGATCCTTGTTTTTCCAGTTATAATGCAACAGAAGGGTGTGGCATTTTATTTTCCAAAATCTGCATTTTCAGCTTACCAAAACACAGTTCCCATGTCAGGAAATGACCAAAACACCACCATTGTTCACCATTTTCAACTGAGTGTTTTGTGTAAAAATACTGCTGTTTTTAGACATTTTGTTGATACAAACTTGACTTCTCATGCATATTTTTCACTGCTGTAATTTTTCACCAGCTTTGGATTTCACTTCCCATTTTTAACCCTTAATCTGTCAGATATCATTGCAAACCTACAAAGAGGTTCACTCCTTCACTGGGTGTTTTGCAGGACAGAATGTGCACAAACTGACCGGATATGCAGACTTGAACATGTCACGCTGCTTTGACTAACACTGAGAGGTCTGACACTCTCTTTTTTTTTTAGTCAGTAGCAGTCCATTTCTCTGAAGCAGTGAAGTAACCACTCCAGCCTGTCTATTTAACACACCTTTGAAATAACCCTGCTGATCTCCTGCATACCTTTATAACTAAAACTGTTTGAAATGTTCGGGCCAGGCCGCTCTGAGTGAGCAGGCTTTAACACAGGCTGTGATTTATGGCTTCACAAACATGTCAGATTTATTGCTGTGGTGTAAAGAGCATGAAGACTACAGCCTCGGACTCTCCCCGTCCATTCATTCCTGACAGGTGACAAGACACCAGTAATTATCAGCCGCCGGGAATAAATCAGAAGATTTTATCACGCAGCTCACCATGCCCTCTATGGAATAACCATTTTCAAGCAAAGGGAACCTGTCCAACGCCGCTGAACCTAGGATTTGTAAATCTCCTGCTCAAGCCCCCATAATGACCGGTTGTTAGCATTTCTTATTAGAGGTCTGTGTGCCAAACGTTATAGATGTATATTTCCAAAGGGGTAGTTAGGGCTAATAAGTGAGTAAGCTCCGGGTTCGCTAACCTTGGCTTTGCACTGGTATGTTAATGCATGTTTTTGGTGTCTGCCATGGAATTTTCTCACCTCAATAAAAACCTCCCCATCCAAGAAAAAAAAGGCTGTTACACCACAATCCACCCACAAACATAGTTAATGTGAGTACAAATCTATGTTATCATCTGTGCTCCGACAATCTGTGGTCATGCACGACAGTTACTTTATTGCAATCCTCTTATCTTTTATTTTAAAAACACAGGGATACACAGTGAAGGTTAAATGTAAGGGAAAAACTCCTGCAGAGTTAAGTAGATAAAAATTGTCCCCAGTATAACTTTTACCCATTTTAAATGGTCACACACGCACATCAGACCTTTTGCTGCCAGCCTCAACTGGACACTCAAGGTACTGCAGTTTTTTAAACCTTTCCTCCGCTTTTATGAGAGCCATCTTGTTTTTACCTAAATATTAAACACTCAATTAAATTTTCTTCATCAACTCAATGGAAAAATTGTCAGGATCACATGGCTTCAGAGTGACTTGCAGCGTTTTTGCCCTCTCCAGTGGCTCCCCAGCCACACGAGAAAGAATATTTTGTTTTCATTTTATATTCTTTTTTTTATTTGTGTGTGCGTGTGTGTGCGTGTGTGTGCGTGTGTGTGCGTGTGTGTGTGTGTGTGTGTGTGTGTATGCGTGTGTGTGTGTGATTTGACTTTTTCTTTCTGTAAGAAATGTATTTAAATCAACTTATTGCTGCATCATAACCTGCATTTATAGCATGTTGCAAAATGGCTTAACGATACTGCAGAGATACCGCAATTCTCACACAAAACCACAAATGTGACATTAACAGTTTTTCAAAAGCTGACAATTTTGCATTTGAATAATGGGATGTTTCTCCCAACATTGGTAAATCTACATTTGGGGTTTTGTCAGTATTTTGGTCAGCATACTTAGATACACAAGAGCTGGTTTTATCAACCATGAACTAAATCAAATCTGAAAAACAAAGATTGGACAAAGTTGCTTTGCTCATCTTGTCTTCTGGCAGCTGAAGTTGTATTTTTTGGTATAAAATCTCATCCTGCTGACTTTTAAGAGTCAAATGATCTATCTTCTCTGAATATGTTATGTGGAAATGCTAAAATACTTAAGCTGCTCGACCGACAAGTAACCCCTCACTCCATTTTCAGGCTTTAAATGTTACAGTATTAAAATTTTAAATCTTGTCCTTGATGGTCTGTTTGCATCTTTATGTCATTAAAAGGCATCAATATGAATTCCAGTCTATTTCACAAATGTAAAAAAAAATAAATAAATAAGTGATCCCCACCTGAAACTGTTGTGTTTCGTGCTCAAGCCTGAAGGTTGATAACCACATTTGGCTGCAGACAGAGAAGCTATCTCACACTTCTTTGTTATAGGTGATAATAGAAATGCAGGAAAGAGAAGTTCTTGTCTCCTGCACTCTGCTTTGAGTCACACCTACATTCTGTACTTTCACATACACAGGTGAGTCAAGCTACAATTCTAGTCTGATTGGGCAATCTACCTTGATAATCCAGTCTACAAGCATCAGATGCAAACACATCTATTGACCTAAGTTTGTCTTTCTTAGCCACAGCAGGCGGAGATGTAGTCCCTTTCAGCTCATTACTTTTAGGCCGTCGTCTGGATGACTTTATTTGTGTTGTATATAAGAAAACAATTGATAAACATGTTAGCATGAGGGTAAGTGGTTATATGTCAAGTAATGGATATACCTTTTGTTTATTTTTTTCTAGGGCTGTAATCAACCAAAGAAATTCTTGGTCGACTACAACCCTGAAACTTTTTTACCAAAAACCTACTAGTGGGGGGCAAAGCCTGACAGCAAACCCCTCTGTGGCGGGGGGACGATGCGGCTCGGCGGAGCACAGCTCAGTGGGGTGAAAATATACTGATATCAGCACAAGAAGGCAATGCTAATATCTCAAATGAAAGTTGAAATGCTCAAAATGAAAATAAATATTGTCCTGTCTCAAGGTGGGCTCCAGTGGGTTGGGTGAATCCAAATGGTGGAAACAAGGGGGGTGTTCTGAGATAGGCTGTTACCTGTGAAACGGCGGTGCTCTGAAAACACAGCAATTAGTACTTGGTACGTTCCTCCTGATGAAATTAACCATAGACTGACTGACACGGAAAAAAATTGAGTTGACCAATCAGAATCTTGGTCAACTCAGCATGTATTGACCAAAACGTTGACCAGTTGACTAGGACTTCACCACCCTTTTTTTAACCAACCTGCTTCATTCATTGAGGTTTAGTTTACAACCCAGCTTCTTATAATGCCTTTATGTGGTTCAACTTCTGGGTCAAAGCCTGGCGTACAAACTGTGGAGCATGCAAAGAACACTTAGATCAATTTTATTCAAATCTAAGTATTAACATGGAGGAGAAAATTCCCCAAACACAATATCCAGACATGTTGGTCCACCTACGAAACATTTTAAGTTCAATGTGATTTCAGTCAGACCAACGTGTTAACGTGTTTTTTAAAGCGCAGTTTCAGTTGTACTGATGCAATAGACCAGCTTTGTTTACCAACATGTAAACACATTGATTATGTTTTCCTGAGTCGAACCAAATGGTGAGAGACCTTTTCATTTCAACCAAGTGATTTTAAGAATGAAGAGCTACTGTGTGTTTCTGTGAGAGAAAAAACTAATGATGAAAAAACACCAACCAGGAGATGCGTTTTTCAGATCTCCATCAGTCCAAGGTTTCTAATCTCTACTTTTTTGGATGAGTGTTCACTGACTGTGGCCTCTCTGAGTCAACCTTTCCCCTGCTGTCTCCTGTGGTGAGAAATAGAGCAGGACCTGGATTCTTAGACGTTTCAACAAAAAAATAACAGCTTGTCACTTTGATCTGAGGTATATTCACGCTGAGGATGAGCTGTTGTTGTAATCTGTCAACATGCGGCGCACAGACATACTTGAGTGAAACCCTCTTTAGTGACATGGTGAGAGAGTGTCTGCATCACACAACTTGTCCAACATGTTAAAAACAAAGCAGCGAGTGCACTGACACAACAATTGTGAATCATTCTGTCTGAAATTACTGGCAATTACGTTTGCTGGCTGCTATGATCACCGTCAGCCAGCACAGCAGCAATAAAACCTCTGCTGTCGGGTTGAAACAATCCCCCGGGTATGTGAGCACGCACAGCTCAACATTTAAAGAGTTATTCAGTGTGCGTCTGTCACAGAGTTGCCGGTTAATCATAGAGGTGTGCTCGGTTTATTCTGCTACATTAGAGATCTTTCCAGAGGTTCAACAGCGGGAAAGTGCAGTGATTTATGGGCATTATCTGTAAAGTACAAAAGGTGGTTGCTTATAGAAGACGAGTGAGACTACAGCCAATGAGAATCGTCGTCCTGATACATTGGAAAAAGACAGAAATGTTCATCTCTCTTTAATGCTAGCCTGCCAGCTAATAGCTGACTTGTTATAAATCTGTGTGTCTGTTTTGTAATTATAACAGAGTTGATTAATGAGATATTTTATGTCGGGTCATAAAAATAAGACAGTTGCCATGTGCAGAAAAACACACTTTCTGTTTGGTCACTAAAATAAGCTGCACTCTCTAATTTAGCCATAAGCAGAGTGTTACTATAACCTCCCTCTAAGTGATTTATACCTTGTAAGAAAACCATGCAAATCTGTCAGTACTGATGTCATGACATGTCTAACAGTTTCCTCCACTCAGGAATGTCAGCACACTTCCTCCCCCATCCTAAATACTTGAATCATCCTATGAATCACTTGTTTTCACAGGAGAGTATTAACTGTCGGATCATATTAACTGTAAACTGAAGGCAATGCTGGCATAAAAAAGTGAATTTCACAGGAGAGTAGGTAGGCATTAAGATTCTATTGTAACCAATGACATGCATATCCTTCATTTAATCAGGTTAAAGCTTTTGTGTATTTAAAATCTCTTTTCAGAGAGTGACGTGCTTGAAACAGCTGAAAAAAGCAGATATAAATATGTTACCAAATGCTTTACAGCTAGAAACTGATTTCTGTCGTACCATAGTGACATAAAAAAATCACAATAAAGGAAAGTGCTATATCCTGACCTCTGCTAGATACCTGTGTAGTAAGCAGCTCTTAAAATTTCCGGTCTTTGTTATTCAAGCAACTTACAAAGTGAGGTTTAAGTGAGCAGGTTGTTATGCAAATCAGTCTCCTGATGGGGTGAGTTCACAAGATTTACATAAGAGGAAAACTGTGCATGCAAAGGGACAGCTAATTCACATATATAATGCTTGCAAGTGGTTTTGCAGCACACTTTGCGACATTTCTCAGCTTGCGAGTGAAACTCTGCAGCCTGTGAGAAGAAAACCAAGAGCCCGGTTCACTAAAGGAACTGTGGGACTTTTTGCACCTGCTAAATCTGTGCTAATAAATCAGAAAGAGCAAAACTGTTTAAAATTACATCTATTACTTTAAAACAAATAAAGATTCTCACCTGTTACCTTTACATCTTTGCAGACACTATGTTAAATCATAAAATGCCTCGCCATATGAGGTTGATATTGATGCTTGGATTGTTGTTATACATATTAAAACAACACTGCAGTACTGCGACATTTGTCAAAGCTCTGTTCCCATTTGACACTAACAGTGTAAGTGCTTGATTTGTAAGCTTCAGCTGTTTGTTTTTATATTAGTCACCCGTATCATCTTGGTTCACTTTCCACCATGACTTAAAAAAAGCAATCAGTATATGCCGGACCCAACTGTCTAAGTTTGACCATTTACTTAGACATTACCATTTTTGGTCATATCAGAGGTTAAGTCCTTGGGGCTGGGACTGTAGCCCAACATCCTGTACACATCACAAACAACAGAGCATACATATGTATATATATATATATATATATATATATATATATATATATATATATATATATATATATATATATAAATATTTGTGCATGTATCTGGACACATGAATGTTCATGTGTGTATTTACTTGCTCAATTTGCCCAATTGACTCACTTAATTCACTTTTTTTGTATTGTGTCTATAGTAGTCCTTACTCTCTTTCCTCCAGCTGAACTCATGTTTACTCCTGTCTTAGTGTCACATTCAAGTTTTATCCTACAGGTCATGTGGCTGCATTACTATCACTATAGGTTAATCTTCCATTTTTCAAAATGAATCTCTTCCTCTCTGTTGTTGACATATGTAACCAGGGTATTGCCATGCCAATTGTTGGTTATCGCAACCAGGACATTCACTTGACTTGAAATATATTTAATGTTTGAAGTAGGTAGTGCACTGGATGCGCCTCATAACGCCGCACAACGAAATTGCATTTACAGATGGGGAAAGTACACACAAGAGGGAGGGAGAGGAGGAGGTAAAAAAAAGAGACTGCTCTCATTAATATGAGTGCA